TGCTTCAACCGGACCGGTTATATGACCGGTTTACCGGTTCCCGGATCGACCCGGCCAGGTCGGTCCAGTTTTAATAACACTGGTTAAAACCTGTGAAGCTATTTGGAGTCAGGCAAAAGCATCGTACACCAATAATACACAGAGACTCTATGGTGTGTGTCAGAAATTGATGACTACATTTGCTCCTCGGGACTTCAATTGTCCTATGACCGAATATTTGTAGAAAGCTCAGAGTTTGCTTCATGACCTTGACGAACTTCTGCCTCTCACTGGTGATATTACTAAGGAACAAGAACAGCGTAATACACTTTTTACGTTGTCCATTTTATATGGTTTGCCTGACCACTTGTCTGCCAATCGGGATCAAATTTTGGGATCTGCTACAGTTCTTACACTGGATTTCGTGATGTCTACCTTGCTTCGGATTACATCTAAGCTCTCTACGTCACCAGCACCTCCTATGATGCATATACCTCCAGTGGATTCTGTTGACTCTTCCGCTCATGCTGCTCAAGGTTATGGTCGTGGACGTAAATTCTCTAAAGGAAAGTTATTATGCACTCATTGTCATCAGACCAATCATACTGTTGATCGCTGTTGGAAGCTTCATGGAAGGCCACCTCAACCTCCTCGGAATGCTCATGTTGCTCAGGCTTTCTCTAGTACCTCTGCTCCAGGGTTACCTTCCGGTGCACAACCTCCAGCTGCTCTTCTCAACGAATTTGTGACTTGGTGGTCTGAGAAGAAGACATCAGGTCCTGCTGCATCCATTGCTCCCACTGGTAATACTTTTGCTAGAATCTCTCAGCTGCACTCTATAGGCCCTTAGACTCTTGATTCTGGGGCTTCTGATCACATTTTTGGTAATAAGTCTTTATTCACTTCCCTTTGTACTACTGGTTCTTTTCCCACTATTACTATGGCCAATGGGTCTCTGGTCCAATCACAGGGGATTGACACGGTTCTTCTTTTACGCAATTTATCTCTGGATCATGCTCTCTATGTCCCAGATTCTCCTTTTAACTTACTTTCTTTTAGTCGTTTGACAAAATCCATTGACTGTGTTGTTTTTTTTACTAAAACCTCTGTCATGTTTCAGGATCGAAGTTCGGGGAAGGAGATAACCAAATGATGTGAGTCTCAGGGCCTCTATCAACTATTTCCCTCTTCTTCAGCCTGCTCCACTGTGGATTCTCCTCTTACTATACATGCTCGTTTGGGCCATCCTAGTCTTGCAAAGCTTCAGAAGATGGTTCCACATTTATCGTCTCTTTCTAATTTAAATTGTGAGTCTTGTCAGTTTGGGAAACATACTCATAGTACGTTCCCAAGTCGTCTTAGTCGTCAAGCTGTTTCTCCTTTTTCTGTGGTCCACTCTGATATTTGGGGACCAAGTCGTCATTCTTCTACTTTAGGATTTAAGTATTTTGTTACTTTTATTGATGATTATTCCATATGTACTTGGTTATTTTTAATGAAAAATCGGTCTGAGTTGTTTTCTATTTTTCAATTATTCTACAATGAAATTAAAACTCAATTTGGTATTCCTATTCGTACTTCTCGTAGTGATAATGCATGTGAGTATTTATCTCATCAATTTCAACAATTCTTTTCATCTCATGGCATTCTTCATCAAACATCTTGCCCTCATACACCCCAACAAAATGGTGTAGCCGAGCGCAAGAACCGCCATCTGGTTGAAACCACTCGTGCTTTGTTAATTGATGGCAATGTTCCATACACATTCTGGGGTGATGCTATACTTACTACATGCTATCTCATTAATCGCATGCCATCATCTGTTCTCAATCATAAGGTACCTCACTCTATTTTATTTCCCCATCAAGTTTTATATTCTTTGACCGCACATGTGTTTGGTTCTACGTGTTTTGTTCATCATCTTGGTCCAGATTTGGATAAATTATCTCCCAAGTCTCATAAATGCGTTTTTCTGGGTTATCCTCGGTCTCAAAAGGGTTACCGTTGCTACTCTCCAACTTTACGTCGATACTTTATCTCGGCATATGTGTCCTTTTTTGAATCAGTTCCCTTTTTTGGATCTTCTACTACTCCTGTGGACACTGATTCTGTACAGTCATCTTCCAAAGTCGACTCTTTTAAATACCTTCAGTCTTTACCAGTCCATGTTTCTGACTCTCCTTTTATCACCTCTTCTCTCGATGAGATCGAACATAGTTCGTCAGATGTTTCTGTGGACTCACATTCAACTGCATCTCCTCCCTCAGCTTCGGTCCCACCTTCGGATAGTGACCTTCCCATTGCTCTTTGTAAGGGTACTTGTGATACTCGCCCTCCAGTCAGGTATACAGTTAATATTAGTTACCATCGTCTTTCTCCATCATATTTTGCATGTTTTTCCTCTTTGTCCTCTGTATCTGTTCCTAAGACTACAGGTGATGCACTTTCACATTCGGGATGGCGACAAGCTATGATTGATGAAATGAGTGCTCTTCATCATAATGGAACATGGGATCTAGTTCCTCTTCCATCTGGAAAATCTGTGGTTGGTTGCAGATGGATTTATGCTGTTAAGGTTAGACCTGATGGTCAAGTGGATCATCTTAGAGCTACCTTTTGGGGTAGTGTATCCCAAGGTTCTTTACATGGTATCAGAGCCTCGTGTCCCGACTTCGATCCTCGCCACCCCCCACTTTCTTTCAAGTGGAATTTCTTTGCACAGGTAAGCTGGGCCTGTTGCAATATCCACGCTTCTAGCCCAATGGGCTCTCGTGTGAGGGAGCGTGTTGAGATATATAGTCCTACATTTGTGGAGTTTATAGTGCCTTGGGCACTCTCACCTTAGAGCTAGCTTTTGGGGTGGTGTATCCTAAGGTTCTTTACATGGTATCAGAGCCTGGTGGCGAAGGGTTTCACTCAAGTGTTTGGATTGGATTTTGTTGATACTTTTTCTCCTGTGGCGAAAATGTCTACTGTTCGCCTCTTTATTGCCATGGCTGCTATTCTCCATTGACCTCTCTACCAACTTGATATCAAGAATGCTTTTCTCCATGGTGATCTTGAGGAGGAAATTTATATGGAGCAACCTCCTGGATTTGTTGCTCAGGGGGAGTCAGGTCTTGTTTGTCGTCTTCGTAAATCTCTATATGGTCTCAAGCAATCTCCAAGAGCTTCGTTTGGTAAATTTAGTCGTGTTGTTCAACAATTTGGCATGACTCGGAGTGAAGCTGATCATTATCTCTTTTATCGTCATTCAGCTTCTGGATCTATTTACCTGGTGGTATATGTGGATGATATTGTCATCACAGGTAATGATAGACATAGGATCACTCATTTGAAACAACATTTATGTCACCATTTTCGGACTAAGGATCTTGGAAAACTTCGATATTTCTTGGGAATCGAGGTGGCCCAATCTAAGGATGGCGTTGTGATATCTCAGAGGAAATATGCTTTGGATATTCTTGAAGAAACTGCTTTGTTAAATTCTAAGTCTGTTGATACTCCTATGGATCCAAGTATCAAGCTTCTACCAAATCAGGGAGAGCCCTTTGCAGATCCTGAGCAGTATAGAAGATTGGTTGGAAAATTGAACTACCTCAGTCACTCGGCCTGATATTTCATTTGCAGTTAGTGTTGTCAGTCAATTTCTTAATTCTCCACGTCAAGAACATTGGAATGCAGTCATTCGTATTCTTAAGTATATCAAGGCATCTCCAGGAAAAGGCCTTGAATATGAAGATAAATGTCATGATAAAGTTGTTGGGTCCTGTGATGCTGATTGGGCTGGTTGTCCAGCTGATAGGAGATCTACTTCTGGGTATTGTGTATTTGTTGGAGGCAACTTGATTTCATGGAAAAGTAAGAAAAAAATGTAGTTGCCAGATCAAGTGCTGAAGCAGAATACCGCTCCATGGCGACTACTACTTGCGAGCTCATCTGGCTTAAACAGCTTCTCAGAGAGCTTAAGTTTGGAGACACTGGACAGGCAACTCTCATTTGTGATACTCAAACAGCTCTGCACATTTCATCAAATCCAGTGTTTCATGAAAGAACCAAGCATATAGAAATAAATTGTCACTTTGTTCGAGAAAAGGTTCTTGCTAGTGACATTAAAACTAGTTTTGCACCCTCTAATGAGTAATTAGCAGATATATTTACAAAATCTTTGAGGGGTCCTCGAATAGAGTTTATATGTAACAAGCTTGGTACATATGATCTATACGCTCCAGCTTGAGGGGGAGTGTTAGAAGGAACATATCTTTTGTATATCTATAATTATTTATTTCCTTTATTTTATTAGGATTTGTATTAGGTCTAGGCTTAGTCCATTAGTATGTCTATATATTGTACATCTTACCTCAATTCAAGACACACAATTTTATTTCAATGTTCCTCTCTCTTTGTTATTTAACAAGAAAAATATTTCTCTTATTTTTTCTACAGTTAATATAAATATGTTATCTATATTGAGCCCAAAACGACGTTTTGGAGCAGAAATCAATTTATTTCAGGATTATAATAGTCTTTCTCATTATAATTTTTTTATTTTTCAACTCAAAACGACGTCGTTTTGGGAGGGAATATAAATGATTTATCTACATTCACTATAGAAACATTAAAGCCTATTTTAATATGGGAAAACATTTTTATCATGTTATAAGAGAGTTATATTCTCTTACATGTGACCATTCGATTTTCGTATAATATTTTTTTTATTTTTTAATAAATATAAGCCCTACACAAAACGTGTCTATAACATGAGAAAAATTGAAATCCTTGCAATATATATATATATATATATATATATATATATATATATATATATATAAAAGCATCAAGACACATAGAGGCTTTTTTTTTAATCTCTATTTTATAAAAAAGAAAAATTAAATAATGGGAGGTTTTATTTATTTAAAATCATTCAATCCCAAAATGTCACCAACTAAAGTAGTGAGTCATGATCACATAATGGGAAAACAAAGAGGGCAGAACATGAATCATGCCTCGGTTTTGTGAACCTTGCTAACAAGAAGCCTAACACCATATTTTGGCATTAACAGCATTTTATACACAGGGCAATGATTATAGTTTGGGGAAAGAGAAAAGGAGAAGTTAGACAGAAGAAGACAGAGCACAACCTTGATTTCCATCATTGCAAAGTTTTGGCCTAAGCAAATTCGACTCCCAAAGCCAAATGGTATATAAGCTTGTGGATACTTACATGCTGCTGAAACACCCCCTTCAAACCTTTCTGGCTTGAACTCATTAGCATCTGGCCCCCAGTTATCAGGGTCACGGTGCAATGCAGGTATTAAAAACCACATGTTTATGCCTTTAGGTAGCACAAGTTCCCCCACTTTCATCTCAGCCAAAGCTTCCCTTGAAGCTATAACAGCTGGCCCATAAAGACGAAGACTCTCTTGAATCACCATTGTCAACTGCACAGAAATAGATTAAGGTTCAATTAAGAAAATGCTTTTGTATTCAAAGTGCTACTATGTATTGTCACATTAAATTTTTGAACTTTTCATTATTGTTAGTGTATATATATATAAGAATATATAGTGAAAGGCAATGGTGTCTGTATAAAGGGCTTTTTGACCCTTCCGATCCAAAAACACAAATATATCACCGGTTTAATTCTTTTGCCAAATTATATATCAATCTAATACGAGTGAAACACACATAGGTAATGTGTGTGTTTAAGTTGCGCATCACCTCCATATGCGACTAATGCAAAAATCAGCACAATGCAAATGAATATCCTGACAATGTGTGTTTAAGTCGCGCACACATCACATGTGCGTCTTGCAAAGCGGAACACGTTGCATTTTGGCTTTTGCACAAATCGCATATAGGATGATGCGCGACTTAAACACGCATACTTTTCATGCACATTTCACTTGCATTATATTGATAAATAATTTACCAAAAGTATCAAATAGGTGATGTACTTGAATTTTGCATAAGAGCCAAAAAGCCCGTATATAGGACATAACAAAAGACACGAGACTTGATTCCAAAGTGTTGTTTGTACTAACTGTTTTCAACTTTCGAAGTTTGTCCATGTCATGAAATGAATGAGGCAACATGTTATCATAGGTCTCCACAATCTCAGATCTAACACGTTGTTGCCATTCAGGATGTAAGGAAAGTAGCAGCAGTGTCCAAGTAACTGCAAGCGCGCTGCTCTCAGATCCAGCAAAGTAGATATTTTTGCACATGTCGATGATTAATCTGTTCATGTTACCCTTTCCACTACTATTTGAAGTGGTGGCACTGGCAGCACCTTCTACTATTGTTTGTAATAGGTCCTTTTGATTCCCATTTATGCTACTATTTTGGTTTTGTACTTGACGGTCATTGATGATTTTCAGTATCAGTGTGTCCACCTCTTTCTCCAACTTCCTTAGCTCTTTGTTTTCCTTGGTGGGAAGAAATCTGAGATTAATGCATCATATATATCATTGATTATAAGCGCATGATATAATATATAGAGTATTGATTTCTTTGAACAAGGATATGTAACCTTTGGTTTAGAAATCCAAATAAAATGCTAGGCTTTGATAGTGCAGCTTGCATAGCCGCCAGTTTTGCAAAAATTTGATTGCCTTGTGCATAAGAGCTTCCAAAACAAGCTTTTGAAATTATATCCGCTGTAAGAACCTTCAATTCGGCATCAATCACCAACTCTGCAATTCCCCCTGCACTTTCTGTTATACGGCTTTCCCATGTTCTGATAATTTCCATGGCAGATTCTTCCATAAAATCCACCATATTCTACAAATTAAACAAAAACAAAAACATTTAACATTACACACACACACACTTACAAGGGACATATCACATGGGTGGATTAATTTACTTTAAGAGATGAGAGGGGATCCGGATCAGCTCATGTCAAAATTTGACATGATCTTGTCATGTCTTAGATCACAACCATCCATTCCTAGATCAATGGTCCAACTGCAATCACTTTAATTAGTGACCATTGATCTGTGAATGAATGACTCTAATCTAAGACATGACAAGATCATGTCAAGATCATGTCAAATTTTTACATGAGAGGATGGTGATTCGTGTGTGTACATATACATGACACACAAGGGACAAATCATATGGGTGGATTAATCAATGGCTTAAAAGACTCCATTAATAACTCATGAGATTCATCTCCTCTCTCCATGGCCAAGACTCCATTAATAACTCATGTGATTCACTTTGCTATTACACGACAATTCATGATTTGCTTTCAGGGACCGGCTATTTGAAGTAAGACAACATCAAATTAATATGAAATCTTAAGGAACTATTTCACCCAAAAGCTTAAGCTGATAGGTGATACTATATTAATGGTTTTATATACTTCTAACACGTTCCCCACACGAAAGTTCATTCGGCTTGAAGAGTAGATAATGCATCAGGCTCAACCTACCTGTGCTAAGAAACTCCACAAGATTTAATTATTTATTAATTAAATGGAGAGCGGTGAGGATCGAACCCGTGACATCGAGGCTCTGATACCATGTAAAGAATCAATTCAATAAAAAAGCTTAAGATGATGGGTGATGCTACATTAACGGTTTTATATATCTTTAACAGAAATTTTAAAAAGTATCATCTATATAATAAAAACTTTTGATTCAATGATAAATTTTGTAAGATGGAAATAAAATCAACAACTAATAATAAGTGCAAGTCTTACGCTATGGTGATCATTCCCTTATGTTATAATATAGGGTATACTAACCTTAATTTTGGTAAGGAAGAACTCAGGAGCAATAAGATTCCGTTGGAAGGCCCATTGTAATCCATTAGCCCTAAGGATGCCTCCACCCAGCATTGGCTTCAATGGTTTGGACAGATAAGAAGGTCTTCCTAGATCTAAGGACCTATGTAGATTCAACTCTTTTATTAATTCGGGCTTCTCCACATATAGATGCTGTTTGATTCCGGTAGAATACATGTACATTGAACCTGATGATAAAAAAACAATTTCATGGTAAAAAAGAATAACTCAAAAATTTATGCAAATTCTTTTAAGATAATCAGCATTCATATGAAAATAAACAAAAGTATGATATATATAATAATGATAGTCACAACACAAAAATCAATATGATTGATTAAGTTTAATGTACCATAGTGTTGCTTCCAAGTATGAAGATATGGGAAGAGGGAATAAACCCATTGGTCAAAGGCATCAACAGAGAGAGGAATTTGTTGATGGCTTGTTTGCATCTCAGAAATGTTACCAAAAGGGAAGGAAGGTTTTGGTCCATTGATGCCTTGCTTCTTAAGCACCGATCGGATCCTTTGAGGCTTCAACCATAACTTGTTACATAATATTAATATCACAGTAAATGCAAATAATAATACCAATGACCAGCATGTCTCTTTCATTACTCTCTCTGAACCCTGCCACTGTTGACCTTGAGCTTCCATCCCCACTCTGTTTGTCTCTCGCTTCAATCACTTTGAGTCGTTTAATTCAGGCTGAACACCTTTTAGCAGCAAGCCTTGTATGACTTGCTATCCAATACACCAAGTTCATTAGTATACTCTATTCTGATAATATATGAGAGGAAAGATCTCTTTACAATTTTTTTTTACAAATTACATTAAGTATGACCGATCATACACTCTTGATTGAAGTATGACCGGTCATACTTAGTGTAGTTTGTAAGAGTTTGTAAATAAAAAGTTTGTAAATATAACTTTCCCTGATATATATATATATATAAAGAGGTTAAAAGTTTGACCTTTTAAAACTTGAACTTAGATCTTTTAGCAATTTATATCCATATACTAATGGTAGTATATAATTATAATATTAGAATTATATTTTTTTTTATTTTCTACGTCAGCAAGCAGTATTTGAAGAGAAAGAAAAAAATATAATTTTAATATTACAACTATGTACTACCTTTAATATATAGTTATAAATTGTTAAAAAGACATAAGTTATATTATTTAAAAAGGACAAATCATTTCCCTATATATATATATGCAGATTATTCTTATATACCATCCTTAATACATAGTTATAAATTATTAAAAGGACATAAATTAAATCCTTTAAAAAGGACAAATCATTTCCCTATATATATGTGTGCAGGTTATTATAAATTATTGAAAGGATATAAATTGCATTCTTTAAAAAGCACAAATCATTTTCCTATTTTATATCAAATGATGAATGAAGACACCCCAATTTTGTCTCCAGTAGAAAATAATAACAACAGAAAATAGTAATTAATTAATAAAAAGAAAAAGAAAAAAAAGTGGATTTTCAAAAAGCGGAGAGGGACGTTGCCTCTCCTTGGTTACTGGTTTGCTCTGATGAGTGCAGAGCCTTGATACTATAGACAAACAAAACTAAGCTAAAAGGAACTATGCATTTGAAATGTGAAGAAAAGGATTCTGAAGGATATACATACATCAAAATGGTGAAGTGAAGGCTGTCTCCGCTACACAATCAAGGGTTAGGGAAGCATGGCCGATGCCAAATTGTGTTGCGGTGCTTTATCCTCAATCATAGTCACTACCTTCCACGCAAGCAACCGCCTCGAAGGGTCAATCAGTTTGCTCAATCTCGTTTTGAAAAAAAACTCCCTTCTTGTTTATGGAAAAATATGGGAGAATACTTTTCTCTCCTACACATACATCGGGTTCCACATATAATTATCTCTAATAGCATAAGAGAACTTCTCTTCTATTGCACGAGATTAATAAAACTCTTTGTGACATTATTTTTCTCATGTTCCATGCAAAAGTAAATCTTTCTTACATACACTATAAAAAAGTCTGCTACTTATTTTTTTTGTTTCTTATTTTTTTTAAATAGATGAATCTCACATTTGATGTATATATGACATGAAATTAGAATTCTCCTACAACATAATATTTATTTTTCCCTTAAATATATGTTTTATGATTTTATGAATTTTTTTAAAGATTTAATCTTTTTACAGTGAAGGTAGATAAGTTATCTACATTCAATTCCAAAAAGATGTTGTTTTGGGTTGAAAAATTAAGAAATTATAATGAAAAAAACTATTATAACCCTGAAACAAATTATAATTACAAAAATACCTTAATTTTCGCCTCAAAACGATGTCGTTTTGAAAATAAATATAGATAAATTATCTACGTTAACTATAAAAAAAGCGAATCATTTTATATTTTTTTAAGTTAATATTTTACGTTTTATCATTTTTTATCGTTCCTTCCATTTTAAGTAAAATCTCGATTTTAGATACAACGAGCGTGACTATTAATCTGCCATATTCTCAGTTTTTTTTTTGGCTATAATATAATGATAGTTGGGAATGGGCTGTTGGGTACGTAGTTAGACAAAAAAAACTTTAGGTGCTATGAGGTTGAGTTAGAAAAAAAGATTTTGGGCATTTTTTATGAGTAGGAGAGGATCATTGGGCCTTTTGTTAAATTGTATAAAACAAAAAAATTTCTTTTTAGAATCTAGTGTTTTTCAATTTGGACTGATAATTAGATTGTGTTTTTTTTTTCTTTTAATTTAGTATAGAAGCTTAGTTAGATACTTATATTAAAATAATAGAAAACATAACCAAGTAAGTTGAAACTGGGAAATAAAAAAATTTAAAAAAATGATAATATGTAAAAGACGTTAGATTTTTTTACCTTTAGCTGGTTTGGATTTTATTTTTTTTATTAATTATATGGCATGATGTGACTGTCGGATTTGTTATTTCTTTTGTGATAATTTCCTAGGTTTAGTTTGTTACTAATTGGTAAGTTATTTTATTTCGAATTATATATTGTGTTTACTTCTTTTAATAAAAATAAGATGGATTTCTTTTTTGGTAGATTATGTAGCTAGTTGTTAGTTTAATTAGAGAATGTAATTTTATTGTTAAATTGTAAGTTGTGTAGATTTACATGCCTATTTTTTTTTTTCTTGGATAATTATGTGGTCAAATTAATTGAAAAAGTGAAAGACATATTTTTAATTATTCATTTAGTTTATCAATCATTTAATCCATGCGGCGATCAACAGCGTTGGTTGTATGACTCGTCATCCTCGAGCGTTGTCCGTATCATAACTATCTTGGATTCCGTGCAATGTGGATTAATTTTTTTTAAAAAAAAATTCTTTTATCAATTTCTTTGTAATTTAAATATGTTTTAAAAATCTATTTTATTTTTTCGCTAATCCACGAGATGATCGATAACGTTGATTGTATAGCTCGCCATCCTCAAACATTGTTTGTATCGTAAGAGTCTTAATATAGCTCTGCTATCTTAGACTCTATACAATATGGATTTAATTTCAAAATAGAATTTTCTTTATCAATTTCTCGGTAAATAATTAAAGTATAATTAAACAGGTCTAGAAGGAGGATATTAATTAGGAAAAAAAGTATCTAATGTTACTTTAGAAAACTTTATCTAATGTTCATCGAAACGACATAGTTTTGAGATTGAAAAATTAAAAAATTAGAATAATAAAGACTATTATAACCCTGAAATAAATTAAAATTACAAAAACACCATGATTTCTGTCCCAAAATAACGTCGTTTCGATGAACATTAGATAAAGTTATCTAAAGAAACTTTAGAAAAAACAAACCCTATTAATTTATGGGATAGGATATTGTGACACACAAATAATGTTACGCACAATATTACGACCACGTCTTAACCGTTGATTTCCGCCAATTAACGGTTATTATTTATTGCGAATTAATAATTAATTAATAAATTTGATTTAAAAAATAATAACCGTTGATTGACGGAAATCAACGGTTAATATGTGGTCGTAACATTGTGCGTAACATTATTTGTGTGTCACAATATCCTATCCCTTTATTTATTTATAGATGGACTTTTTTTTCGGTAAACATTTATAAATGGACTTTAATAGTTTTTATTAATACCTAAAGAAATGAATTTAAATGAAAATGTCTTGAAAACATTTATTCTATTCAATGTATGTTATAATTTCTTTATTACACAATTAAAACATAATTGAAGGGAGTGGATGGAGCAAATGCTAAATAAAGAAGATTCTCATCATTTTCAAAAAAAAAAAATCAAATGCTTTTTAATTAAAGTTTTAAATTTGAAGCTTTAAAATATTAAATACTTATTTTATTTTCATATATACACATTAAATGAAAGATGAAGCATTTAATATTTTGTGAGTTGAAAAAGAGAAAGGTTATACTTACACTCACTAAGATTAAAATCAAATTAACAACCACAAAATTATTTGTGAGAGCCATTCATTTACTTTTAATCCAATGAATTAATAATAACAAAAATGATTGAGATATAAGGAAAAAATATTATAAGTATAACCCATCTTTTGCAAAAATATTTAAAACTTAATTCTTTCAGTAATTAGAGGATTAATAAATGAGATTAATGTTTCTCTTGTCATAGGAGAAAAAGTTATCTCCTGCAATCTCAAAATGATGTCGTTTTAAAATTTAAGATTAAAAGTAAATGATATTTTAGTAAAATTTATGATACAAGAAAAAAGTAAAAATTCTAAAGTATTTTTAATCCCAAAACGACGTCGTTTTGGGAGATCGCGGGAGATTTTTTTATCTTATGTGACAGGAGAAATAATTTTTTTAATAAATATATAAAATTAATCTTTCATTTAATATTATCTATTTTATGTATTTAAAAGAAGAGAAAAGTGTTTTTCTTGTCTCAGGAAATAAAATTATCTTCTGGAACCCAATACTACGTCGTTTTGAGGGTTAGGGTAATTAATGAAGGGTATTTTAATAAAATTCATATAATAAAGAAACAAACAAAATTACTAAAATAACCTTTATTAATTCCCCTAACTCTCAATATGAAGTAATTTTGGGGTTGCAATAGATACTTTATTCCGTGTGACAGGAGAAACAATAAAATGAAAGAGGATTTGTTAGAAGAATATACCATTATATTTTAAAAGTGTTAGCTTCTAAAAAGCAGCGTTTTCATCTTATTTTGGGATGACTATATTTGACTGATTTTATTTTTGGGTTCAATTTTTCTAAAGTTACTTTAGATAATTTTGTCTAATGTTCATCGAAATAACGTTGTTTTGGACGAAAATCATAATGTATTTGTAATTTTAATTTATTTTAGAGTTATAATAGTCTTTATTATTCTAATTTTTTAATTTTTCAACTCTAAAACGACATCGTTTCAGTGAACATTAGGCAAAATTATCTAAAGTAACATTAGATACTTTCCTCCCTTTATTTTTAGTTTATTTGGATTTATTTTTTTAAATTCACATAATTAACTTATTTTGATTTTCAACCTAATTTTAAAAAGTTAGAAGCACATAAAAACAAACCTTTGCAAAAATAAAAATAGCATTAGCGATAAATAGCTATTTTTACAATAATTTTTAATAAAAAATAGGGAAAAATGTTTCTGCAGTTAATGCAGATAAG